GCCTCCCGCGCGGCCTCGCCCCTGCCCCACCCCCCCGACGGTGGGCGCAGCAGAACGTCGAAGTGGTTGCCCTTGAGGCCGCCCAGGCTAAGGTCCGTCTCCACGTAGCGGTAGTCGGAGACGGCGAGGCCGTCCTGGGAGAGGAGGCCGTCAGCGTGCGCCTCGTGGATGGCTTCGGCCTTAGCGCCGCAAGAAACACACACACACACACACACACACAAGAAAAAAAAAAGGTTGAAACAAGGAGGACAAGCCAATTTTTTATTCCAAGACGGAACGTTTGCCGTTACGCACCATTCCAGCGCAGAAGGGGAACCAAAGGTGCCTACCTGCCTTCCCGCTTGTGCCGATGTCCCCCCGCTACTTTCTGTCTTGTCTCCATCTCGGCTTCTGTCTATCAGTCTGTCTTGGACCCCTGTTTTTCTCTCATCCGTCGGTCCCTTTCTCTCCCTTTCTTTCTCTCTCTCCCTCTCTCTCATCACTCTCTCTCTCACTTTCTCTCTGTTTCTCTCTCTCTACCTTTCTCTCTCAACCCGCCCATACACCCCTCTCCTATCAATCTCAACCACCAATCTCTCACCGGCAGTCGCCAGCAACGCATCTTCTGCGCGGTTAGCGCCCGGCGATCCTTCGCTCCCGCGTACGACAACCTTTCTTGTACCGTACCGTACCATACCGTACGGTACACCATCCGTGAGGGGAGGGGGAGGGGGAAAAGCCGCACGGTTTTTAGAAAAAATACATGAAAACACAGAAAGACATACGGTTTTCCAGCACCATTCGCACATGTACCGTGGTTTTTGTTTTCTTTTCGGGGCGGGACCGCGGGACGGAAAAACCGCAGCCGCGCGTACCCCGGGCGAGGCAACGGCAACGATGACGACAATTCAAACAACACAAAAGACGAGAAAGGAAAAGCCAACAAGGATGAGGAAACAACGGCATCGACGGCAAGGCCAAGAAAGACATGTACCGCCCTCCTTGACAAAAAAACACCGTGAAATCATTGGGGGCGGGGGGGATAGCAAGCAGCCAGAACCTCCGCCGCCACTATCACCATGGCCATACAAAAAACAACAATATATTTGGAGGCCTGGATCGGAATTCCTCAATAGCGACAGCAACAGTGCAGTCTGCGAGCGATGGCGGAATAGATGGGGATGGAAAACGGCAAGAGAAAAAAAAAAACAATCAGTCGGAAAAAAAATCATCTGCGCATACCTCGCGCGCTTGATGTAAAGGCGTTGGCAGAGAGCCTCCGCCACCTCGCTAGTGGACCGCCCGGCCTTGTACACCGAGAACTCCAGGTACTCCCCTCTGCCCTTAGGCCATGACGCTCTCGACTTTCGCTTCTCGAATGACACCTGTACGAACGCGTATTTATGTACGTACGAGCGAAGTCGTCGTCGTCGTTGCTGGTTCTTTTGCACAACCTCAACAGCAGTACAGCAGTAGAGGTCCCTGTTTAGTGCCGGGGTGTGCTAAACAGGGTGCCGGCACTATTCAGAGTACAGAACGACTTCGTATTCCAGTGTGTGCGAGCCGAAAACACTATCGGCACTATACCGGGGACCGGCACTATTCAGAGTACAGAACGACTTCGTATTCCAGTGTGTGCGAGCCGAAAACAATATACTGGCACTATACTGGGGACCGGCACTATTCAACCGGCACTAAACAGGGACCTCAACAGCGGTACGTCTTATAGTAAAAAATTTGATCTTTTTTTGTTTTTGGGTGGGTGGTGAGTAAATTGGCGTTGGTCGCTCTTGGTCTGCCTCCCATGAACCACGAGCAAGAGCCGCGAGCATGGAACTTAGAGCATGTTAACGTGGACAACGACTGCTGTAGCTGTCCGCATGTTGGCGGGCGACGTGCCGATGTACCGACCCGCTCAATTTTTGCTGCTGTGCTTATTTCGCCAGGGTCGGGTACATTCCTCAATATCTTTCGGCGCTTACTGCTGGAGCGGCAGATAAGCTCAAAGTGAGAGAGAGAGAGAGAGAGAGAGGCACGGATAGCAGTGGACCCATTCACGTGTGTATAATCTTTAGTGAGGCAAGCTACCTCCATCTGTTGCCGAATTTGTTGCCCCTATTGCTGCTGCTGCTGCTGCTGCTGCTACTACTACTACAAGTGCAATACTGCTGTACTCCTGCTGCTGCTGCTGCTGCTGCTGCTGCTGCTGCTGCTGATGATGATGATGATGATGCTGATGCTCTGTACCCACCTCGAGATAAACCTTTCCGTCGTTCGGCACCATCGGTGGCGGCGCCCCAAACTCGTCCCCGCCCCCCGCCATCTTGGGACGAGCAGCAGGCATTATCGCGGTCGTGGAGAAGTACGCCATGTGGTTGCGGAAGGTGCCGTGGACCTCCGTGCGGCCGGCCTTGTCAAGCGATGGTGGGCACTCCAGGACCACCTGTTGTAATTGTTGTTGTTGTTGTTGTTGTTGTTGTTGTCGTCGTCGCGGTTTTTGTTACTTCGTGTTGCTTGTTGTCGTTGCGGTTGTTGTTGCTTAGTGCTGCTTGCTGGTGACGTTGGTCGTTGGTCGCGAGGCGATGTAGGGGTTCCATGCAAGGAGGCCAAGGCGCGGGAGGCTTGATCCAACCCCCTCATTATTATTGTAGTGCCAAAACGGGCTCGTTTCCAAAGTTCTCTGGGAAACCTAAGCCCCAGGCTATGTACGCTCTGTCTAGCACAAGCATGATTCATGAAAAAGGCTCCGGGGAGCAAACACAACCACGGGTGGGGGTGACCGACTCAACAGCGCGTCGATGGGACAGACAACTGACGACGGTTGTCCAGTTGAGCTAATAAATCCCGAGATGCACAACAAAGAGACGTGCATGCCTGTCGCGGGGGCTCCGGTGGGGGCAGGAGCACGTCGATGGGGCCGCCGACGCCGTCCCGCTTCTCCTCTTCCTCCTCCTCCTCCTTCGCGTCAAACGCCACCCTCGTCGCGACTTGGAGAAGCCAGTCCTGGAACTGGGCGGTGGCAGGGGCTGCGCGCGTGCGCGGACCAGAGGAGGGGGGTGGGGGTGGGGTGCGCATTAAACCCACGCCATACTTTTGTGAGACCAATAGAGGGGGGGGAGAGCATCATATTCACAAGGTTCGACGTTCGGTTCGTCATCAAGACCATGGGGTGAAGAGTGAAGCGTGGGTTTTACTGACTGACCCCGGGCAGGCCATTCGCCAAAACCGGGAGCTGGTCTCGAGGATGCTCCGTCGCACGAACCCCGGCAAGTTGTGTACGCATCCCAGCAGGCCACATCAGGGACGCCTCATGCAAATCCCAGGAGTACTCGGCTTTCATATATAAGTACCCCAGTACCGACTGCGGGATACTACAAAAACGGTTTCCAAGCAACCCGGGGGACAGACGAACTTTGCAACCTGAAAGTTAACGTTTTTTCCCCGGTTTGTGCCCCCCCCCCCCCCAAACCGGTCTCTTCACCTGTGGAGCGCAAATGTCTCTCCATGGACTATGAACGCATACGCGCGCACGCGGCATGGCTGGCGTAGCCGAGATGCACACACAAACGTTCCGCTCCTCCTTCCCGAAGGGTGACAAACAACTCTGTCCGAACCAACAGCGCCCCCCCCAATAACAACCTACCTCCCAATTGTTCCGTCACGACGTCGAAGCCCTTGGCGAGATTCCATGGCATTTGTTCCGCCTCGTCCCGCGGGATGACTTCTGGGCCCTGGTAGGCGGCACCGGTGAGCTGCCGCTCCCTCCACTCTTTGATCGCCGCCATAACGGTGTCGACGGGAGGGATCTACGTAGATGTAACGCACATGCATTTGGCATATATCAGTTTTGCGCGCGTGAGGCGTACGGCAGAGCAGCGGGACGGCCCTTGAGCGCGGGCATCGGGGTGGGAGGGTGGGTCAAGCGGGACCAAGCTGCGTCGTGTGCAGACTGTCTACAACACGGCCTGTTGTTTGTGGTGGCGGCCCTGTGAAGGTGCCCGTGTTAGACGCTTCGAAATTGATGGTGCAGAGAGCAGCCGTCTCGACATGATGTGTCTGCGGTACTCGGGAGCGCACACACCAGCACCCACACGATGCATGTACGTTCTACGTACTGCCGCCGACCATGGTGCAAAAAAAAGTACTTCTAGCCTCTCATCGCGGGCCGAGCGCTGCCGTTACAAACAGCCGGGGTACGTACTCTACCCCGGGTTTCATTCACCATCAAAGCTGGCTGGCGGGACGGCTGCTGCTGCGGCTACTTGGCGTGTGTTGTCCCTGCAGTTATATGCGGAGCTGGCAGCAGCAGCAGCAGCAGCAGCAACAGCATCTTGTCGACCCGAGAAATGACGAAAGAGACGTGCTTGTACATAAGCAGCTGAGTCAGGGGGCAGCAGCAGCAGCATCTTGTCGACCCGAGAAATGACGAAAGAGACGTGCTTGTACATAAGCAGCTGAGTCAGGGGGGTGACAGCGATAAAAATAGGCTTGAGGCTCCTGACCTACGTACTGTCGAACCCAAATGCACCATGAACGCATGGTAGTACACCCTCGGGAACACGGTGCTCTCGAACGACTAATTAAGCGACACAAACGCGCCTGCTAGTTAAACTCATCTCACCTTGTGCACAACCGGTTTCCGCGCTTCCTTCGGGACAGGCTCGTCCGGGTCAGCAGGGGTAAACTTCGACCCTGCGTTCTGCGGGATTTCGACCACCACGAAGTCCGACGGGCTCTCCTTCAGCACCGCCCCAGCCAGCCCGGGAACAACCGTCTGCTCGAGGACGTGGTGGGCGACACCGAGGGTGCTCTTGGGCTTAGCACGGCTGCCGCTACCGCCGCTACCGCCGCTACCGCCGCTACCGCCGCTACCGCCGCCGCCTTCTGGGACTAAAAGGTCCTCGTGTTGCTCGCTAGGGGAGGAAGAAGATGCCCGGCGGGAGGACGACGAGGAGGTTGACCTTCGTGGTTGCGAGGCTCGGAGGGCGTGTGTCCTGCAGCTGCCACCGCGGTAGAGGAAGGTCGACCGCCGTTGTCGGCGGTGCTGTTCATGAGCCTGCTGTGCTGTCAGCAGGCACGTGATGCTGCTGCTGGCTGAAAGACCGCCGGCGGTAGCGAGCTTTGCGTCATGGTGCGGGGCTGCTGTTGCCACTGGAGGGCGGTAGCACAGGGCTGATGCCGAAGTCCACGACAGCGAGGCGGCAAGGCCCCGAACGAGTAGCATCAGTTGACACAGACGCGGCCAAAGCGAATGATTGCCTGTGTGCTACCGACAACTTTATTATAGTACTGCTGCGCTCTTTCTTGTTGTGCGAAGTGCTTGACAACAGGACACACGCGCAGTTTTTTTGCAACACGAGGCACGTCAGGCCCAGCGTGCCTCTACCCCTGAGTGATGCACCCGCCCCGTGCCTATCACCCCTTGGAGACAGCAGCGCCAAACCAACAGAGAACACATGTCGCCATCGGTGGTTTCAATGAGTTCGCGAGGCGTCGGCTTCAAAACGCGGCGTAATTGTTTTTCCGCATTCCGCATCGTCAGACAAGGCGAGAAATGATGCTGTGCTGTTCCTGGCAGACTGCCGTCAAAGCCTTTCGAGGCGAAAGTGTGCAAATCCACTCACACAAAAAAGTCTGACAGCTCGAATTGTGGAGAGGCCGTGGGACGCGCTTCAGCAAGCGCTGTCTCGGAGCACACGGGGCTCCTGCTGCGGCACAGAGAGGGAGAGAAACGAGTGTCTGACAGCGAAAGGTGAGAAAAAACTTCAAGCGTGTTTGTGTAAGGTCTAGGTACAGCCTAGGTGGCGCGGAGTTCTCCTACCAAGTGGTGGGTGTTGCTGCGCGTTACGCCGCCTTTGTTGGATTGTAGAACACATCAGCCGGCGGCAGCGAGATGCAGGGAAGAGTACCGCCGTCTGCCTCCTTCTCGAGCGTTGGCGTGCACGTGTACCAAGCAAGCCAAAGCCGAGGTCCCAAACCCGCCTACGTACACTCCGGACACGCTCGTAGGATACGTATCATACACAGCCGGCAGCAGGTGTTAAACTGGCACGTGACTGTTTCTTCTGCGCTGATGGTCGTGCGAGGTAGACCGCGCACCGCGGGCAGGTTTCACAAAGAGGACGGCTACCACTGCGGACGTCGCTGCCTTCGAGTATCCGTTAGATGTCCCCCGCTGTTCTTGTGGCACACACGTGTGTGCCTCTTTTTTCTAGCCTACTTTCACGCCCAAGTTGAACACAGACGATGACGGGGAATGACGATCATGTTTTCTGACGGGCCGTTCAGACTACTTCTTCCACGTTTTTCTGGGACTCTTTTAACATCTTTACGACGTAACGTACATGTGGTCGCTGGAAAACATCACTAATAGAAGCAGCAGCCAGACATAAGGGGCAGAGAGACAAAGACCACGCGGCTGCTGCTCCGGAGGTTTGCTTCGGAAATTTTTCCCCACTGCGTACACTGCACCAGCACAGAACGGAGTTAAGGAAAAATAAATACACACACAGAAAGTGTTGCACCTCGCGTGTTCTGAGTCTCGAGGCGGTCTAAATGGATGCTGGATTTTGTCCGGTTTTAAGGAAAAATAAATACACGCATAGAAAGACTACCCATTCGAGATATACCCACACCGGTTTTGTAAAAACTCTGATTTCGCGGCCCACACAGAAACACATACCACCGCTGCTCCACTTGCCCACGCGCAGCAGTCAGTACCAAGTCGTTGAACCGGTGTTGTGCATGTGTCAGCTACTGACTCACGATGAGGGTGGTCGCTACAATAATATGATAGAGATCGTTTCGTTGTGTCATATTAAGAAAAATAAAAATTAATATCCCGGTAGGGATGATGAGCATAAAATCACGCCACTGACTGCATCGTTCGAAGAGTCAGCCGTCGTTCATGAGACAGATGACACGTGGTCTTGGGACGGGACCAGTATGTTATGCTCGTGTTGTTACTGTTGTTGTTGTTGCTGTTGCTGCTATTGTTTTCAAGGAGGTGTCCAGCAATTGAGAAGAGCAACCACCTGTTTGTGTTTCACTAAGTACAGGTATACGAAACCTATCCCGCAGCAGAGGCTGGTGTGCGTCTCTCTCTTGTTTTTATTAAGCATTTGAGGCCGAACGCCGCCCCGCTCATGCACGAACACACCTAAGGAGATTCCGTTAGCCGCTGTTCTTGCTGGCAACACGTAGCCTTTCACCCCCTGTGTTGCGACGACTTGACGCCACGCCCCAGGTACATATCACCGCGCATGTGTTTTTACATGCCCCGATGTGTTGTGGGCGTCTTACACTCCGTTTCAGCAGTCCGCAGAAAACGGCCCCGAAGAGGCCTGAGCAAGTTGTCTATTCAGGGCCTCATCTATCTATCTCTCTCTCGCTCGCTCGCTCGCGCGCGTGATGCCCGCGGTCGATAGCAACAGACACGCGAGCCGGGGCTAGGTCGCGGAATAGTTTTTTCGCGTTCATTTCGTTCCGTCAAAATATCCACGCGTACAACTGCAATACAACCAAGGCTGAACGCCCCCAAGATACATCGATGACATTTATTGGCCTTTTCACCTGCCGTACCCGCGGACTGACGTCTCTGTCTCTCTTGCCGCTTGTCCCGCTTACTTGATGTTTTCTGTTCACCCCCTTGCCCCAGGTGGTTTGTTCCCCGATATCCGAAGATCCCGTTGACCGGCGATCCCCCAAGACCCCTCCCCACCCGCCGCCCGAGAGGGCGAGACCGATGGCAATACACACCCTCGCGTCCATTACCAATAGCAACCTTCCCCAGCTGTCAACCCCGGGGCTCACGACCACACCCTTAGCCTTCCGGCACGGGTACCCAACGCGCCGAAAACGTTCCGCTGCGGCGATTACCAGAATGCCCGCCACACCGGGCGGTGGCGCCGGCGACAACAATAGCAACTCTTTAGGTGGCGGCCATGGCGGGGGCGGCGCCAGCGGCGCCGCGCGGGGTTCCTCGGACAGACAGCAGCGGCCGCCAGATGTAGGAGGTGGTGCGTCATCGGGCATGGAGGTCGACGGTGGTGGCCGTGGCGGCGGAGGCGGAGGCGGAGGCGGGGGGGGGGAGGGGAGGGGGGGCGAGGACGGCGACGAGCAAGGGGGCGGCGACAATGCAGCACCATCTGCGGTGC